TATCAATTAATATTGATCCACCACGAATTTTGAAACCATCTTCATCCATGAGACAATTGCATTCTCATCGATTCCCATGTCTCCGCAATGATTGTGCTCCGTCACCATAGGCTCTTCATCAAAGATCGGCGGACCGTCGTTCAATGGCCCATCAACTTGCTCTCCATCGAATTCGAGAATGTCAACGCGAAACGGGCCCTCCCATCGACCATATTCACGATCAAATTCCCTCTTCATAGGCCCAAAGTCTTCGGGTCCTTGACAAGCCCAAAAAGTTTATCCAAAATCCCAACCTTGTCGCTGCCGGTCGAACCCCACGAAGCTGGCACCATCATGTTCAAGTATCAGATCGCAACTGGCACGATATGCGCCGAAGAAGGCAGCCTTCTCGCGTTTGCCTCTATCGTCGCGCTGATCGTCGCCGTCCACGAAGACCGGGCCCCATCGCCACATGTCACGACCGCCATATGCAGCGAAGGGGTCAGTCTTGACGTACGGAGGTTGCCACTCGCCGAAGGGATTCACCTCCGAGATGGTATCCGCGTCGCCGGACGATGGTTGTGGAGATCTCCTTCGGAGCGCCCCGCCTGGACCACGGCCTCCACGTCCTCCGTGAACTCCCCCACAAACGCCCCAATTACCGGCGTCACGGTTCGTCTGCAAATCCTCAACCACGTTGTTGATCGTAAGACGCACTTCTTCGATCCCCACCAAAAGATCCTCAACCCGACGATCCAATTGATTGATCTGACGGCCGAAGCCCGTGGCTTGTCGACCGGGATACTCAATGGTGGTGAAACGCCCGTCGATGTCGTCCTTTCGCGACGGCATCTTGAATCGTGTTGACTTCTGATACAAACCGATGTAGGGAAGCGTACGAGTGGGAAAAATAAACGAATAAACAAGATACTCTCTCGAGATACTCTCTCGTAAAACACGCAAAACTCAATCTTATTTCATTTCAATAATCAACTGCCGGCAACAAAGAAGAAGTTGTCTTTAAATAAGACTCCTAAAGCCTTAAACCTAACTTATTCATCAAGCTACTAAATAATAATAATAATAATAATAATAATAATAATAATAATAATAATAATAATAATGTTTATTAAAGTATCCACATCAAAATGTAAAGCATAATGTAAGAAAATTTGCTAAATTATAGATTGGCGGGTTGGTTTGGATGCAATAATGATATGGGTTTGATTAATTCTCATGTAAATTCTTAGATTCATTTTTTATTTCCCTCAAACATCAAATTTCATTACGAGATTTCGAAAGTAAAAAATTGGTAATCATCGAATTACAATTATAGCCCTTAGCGTAAACTAGAAAGAGAATCCCTACACGACCACATCGGTCCAAATGGCCAAAACCAACAAAAAACACTCACACCTGTGCATTGTTCTAAAAATCGGCTAGACAGCCACTTAGACGTTAGGCGGTACCCGAGAGCTTACGATTTGCACAAATCAAAAAAAAAAAAAAAAATAACCGGCCAAGCAGCTAGCGGCGGGCCTAGACGGGCTCGGGCAACCAAGCGAGAATAGGCGGACCTAGGCGCTCCGAGGGAGGCTCGACGACAATTTTTCATTTTTTTTTTCAATTTTTCTTATTCCAATTAGGGCTGCAAACATACCGAGCAGATGCGTTCGCGAGCGCTCGAGTCAAAGCTCGACTCGAGCTCGAGTTTGACTAAGAGCTCGAGCGGCTCGAAATACATGTTAACCCTTATATATGTTAGCATAGGTCCTTAATGGTAATTTTACCTTTCCATTTAAAAAATGTCGAACCGAGCTCGAGCATTTTGATTTCGAGCCGAGCTCAAGCTATTGTAATTTTTTATCGAGTCGAGCTATTGTAATTTTTTATCGAGTCGAGCTCGAGCCTAAAAAATCGAGCTCGACTGCTAAAAAAAAATTAATCCTGTTCGATAAGGTCAATGTTGAACTCGGCTCCACTCATTTACAACCCTAATTCCAATGCAGTACACAATGTCTTGAATCAATGTCTTCAATCAACCATCTTATATTCCAATGCAGTACACAATGTCTTGAATCAATGTCTTCAATCAACCATCTTATTCCAATGCAGTACACAATGTCTTGAATGTAGGTGGTGATATAGATATCTACATGATCAATTTTTTTTAAATATTTTTTTTTTGGGTAAAATGTGATGGGTCAAATCATTTTTAATGTATTTCCCCTTTGAGTTATACACATTAATTTGCATTGCCATCATATTCATAAGTAATAGGAGTATCCATCACCTACCTTAACTTTCAAATACTCTGGATTTTTATTATGCTATTACATATTTTTCATGGAAACATTATAAATTCTTGCTTCACAACTTAAAAAAAAATTAAGAAAATAAGAGAGAATAAAAACTGGTTATGGGATAATTAAATTGGAAATGCTAAGGTCCTGTTACGGAACTATTCTGTCAAGATTTGTAACCTTTAGACCATCATGTAACCGTCAGAGATAATTGATCTAATGGTTAAAAATTCTGATGGAATGATTCTGTAGCATCTTCCAATTAAATTGCCATGTTATTAATGAAAAGTATTTTGAAAATATTTGGTGTGCCATTTTTTCGAGTGTAGCCATCAATTGACAAGGCCTTTCTAATTTGAGGAAATTGCATGTCATACTTTTATACTTAAATTATATAATACTTTTGCACACTTTATATTTTGTTTTTCAAAATTACCTAAACAAGCTAAAAGATTTTCAATTATACCTAATCATCTCATTAACCGTTTATTAACCCCTTTTAAATGTGATTGAGATATTTAAGTGAATTAAATATACACTTACCTAAAAAAAAGCAACCAAAAAGTGCAAGTTTTATTCTCCAAAAAAACTCTCACCGCCCCCACGTCTCCCTCATTCTGCAAGCCGTTCACGTTTTTCTCGCCCAATTCAATTGTCAATGGCGAAAAACCAAATTCACTCGCCCTCATCGGAAAAATCCGACAAACGGTTCCGACGACTCACCACAGGTTAGGTCTAGTGCCCGTCTTTGCAAAATCCTCGCACAAAAGCATCCAAAACTCGTCCAAAAAAAACTAATTTTTGAAAAAAAAAAAAAAATTGAACCCTAAACCTACCCGCAAGTTTTCCGGCAAGTCGATCATGAAAAACCCTATTCCATCTCCGAGTTCAGACGACTTCCAGTCAGACCCAAGTATTTCGGAAAAATCTCGGCAAACTCGTAAATTGAAGAAGCTTAAATCTACGGTCAAAACTTTGAACGAGGAAGATCCTGATTTCGAGTGTCAAACCCAACCCGAAGAAACCGATAGTGATGAGGATTTGGAAGAAGAAGAAGACTCCCCGGTTGAAATGTTGTCGAAAAAAAAAAGAAAAGGACCACAAAAGAAACGATTGTATAACTTAGGTATATTTGAGGTATAGTTTAGGTATATCTTAGGTATATTTTATGTATATGTGGGTTCTGCCAGTGAGAAACAATCTGCTCGCAAAAATATATCTCGAGTGTATATCTTAGGTATATTTTATGTATATGTGGGTTCTGCCAGTGAGAAACGATCTGCTCGCGAAAATATATCGAGTGTATATCGTAGGTATATTTTATGTATATGTGGGTTTTGAAATCGATTTTGAGAAACGATTGAAACTGGAGTGTATATTTAAAGTATATTTTATGTATATGTGGTATCGCGAACTTGAATTACGTGAATCTCGATTGTGTATTTTATGCATATTGTACGTATATTTTATGTATATGTGTGTTGTATGACTTTGGTATATACCCGCAACGTGTAAATTTTAATATATGATGATAACATATAAATCATGTACAAAATTTTCATACCCGAAATATACAAATTTTTATATCGATACATATACCGAAAATATACTATATATACCCACAACATATACCCGCAACATGTACATAATAGCAAACGACCAGCAACAATACTATAGTCAACATTTTCTTCTAATGTAAGACTGTTAGGGTTTATGTTGAGTATATTCTCGGTATATGCGACAACTTCTACCATCTCTGCAGCAACATTCCTTGCGAAAGACATGAAATTAATCGAGTCATCTCCGACATCAGGGTACCTGTCAAGATTTGGATAACTCAAAGGTTCAACATTTGACTCGTAATTCATAGAAGCCGTAATCCTTTCATTATATAACGAATTTCCAGCAATAATATGAGCCTTCACCATGATGTATTCACATACTCTTTCTCGATCCATTGACCCCCATGATGTATGAAAATCATCATGCTCGACTCCATCTACAAACCCCCCAAAAAAAAGCGACACATAAATTAAAACTGGTGTAAATGACCAAACACGAAAATAAACGTTAAATATGCGACAAAATTACATAAATATACCTCGATCGGAGTATATGTTCGGTGAATTATTGGGTTGCAGAAAATTTGATGCGTTGCAGAAACTCTGATCGGAGTATATGTTCGGTTAATTTTTAATTTTTTTTTCTTCCGTCGCGATTTAAGAGCACTTTTGTGCAATTCAATTTACATATCTTTTCCAACAAAAAAAAAATGGGCTGATACGAATTTGAAATGAAGATTAGGATTTTTTTTTTTTTTCGTAGACATGACGGAATCAAGGCAGCAACTTACTGAGTGAGAACGTTACAAGGTAACTGCTATTGATGCAATCTCATAAATAAATTAGCCTCATTAGGTATAAGTGAAAATACTTTCATATGAAGGTAAAATTGAAAATATTTGTATTTCATATGGCAGGTATAGAAATTTCCCTTCTAATTTCTACTAATATAAGAGAGACCCAAAATGGCCAAGAAAGAAACAACTTACTTGCGGCCCATATATTTGGCATAGCCCAAACATCCAGAATCAGCCCAAAAAGAATTCGATGGCTAGGGTTCTATAATATGGCGGCTTCCCCAAATCAAAAAACCCTAGACGCGCCACTCAACAACAAGAGAGGAGAAGTTAGCTAGCAGCTGAAAACTCTGTCAGAAATGGTGACTTACAGGGTAAGCTATCCCGTCTCTCGACGCAACATCAAGATTTCAATTATGCATTATGTTTGAACTGTTGATAATTGATCTTTGTCTTTGGTTATGGTGTCATTTGCAGTTCCACCAGTACCAGGTGGTCGGAAGAGCTTTGCCGACGGAGGCGGACGAGCACCCCAAGATCTACCGGATGAAGCTATGGGCGACCAATGAGGTCCGAGCCAAGTCAAAATTCTGGTAATAAATTGACACTATCTTTAAAAAAAAAAGTAACGATTTTTTTTGGTGGGTTTCGTTTGTAGTTTAGATTTATAGCTCAATGTTTATGTTGATGTGATGGTTTTGGCTGTTCGATTTCGTTGGCCTTTTTTTTTTTTTTTTTTT